AATTATATAGAAAAAATTATTAAAAAAAATTGTTAGAATGTTATTACTTCCTTTTTGCGATTGGAAACCACAGGGATTTTGACACCTGTACTTAATTAACCCCACGAGTCTTGACTTGGTCCTCATGATCATCCAATGCCTATGTTCCAAACTTCCAATTCCACCCCAATGAGATCAGCAGCGTTTAAAATCAAGATACAGATACATGACCGACTCCGCTGAAAGAGTCTTCGAAAAGTATAACGCAAGGACAGACGGTTATTAATTGGGGAAGAAGGTCACCAAAAAATTTTGAATTTTTCAAATTTGATATTTTGGATAGGGAGGTTTCACCGACCCCCAGCGACCGGTACATGTCTTAACGTGGTGGCATTATAGTGTAAAAAGAAGACAACTGAATATCATCTGAAAATACTTCTTTCGGCACAAGTGTCAAGATTTGATTGTTCCTCTTTAAACAATAGTTACGTTTATGACTTTGTATCGACTTTTCGAAAAAATTTCACTGAAAGAAAATGATTTGTAATATTTGAACTAAAATAATTTGAGCGTGTTCAGAGATGGACAATTGGACTGGGTCGGTTGCTTAGCTAGCCGCACCTCATTTGTGTATGTCATGACTCGTGTATAAATACATGTTGTGCATGTTCTTTTGTTTTAAACCATATATCTTGAGGAATCTCTTTGCATTATTGCTTCATCAATCCCCTTTCTCCAGCCTTTTTTATAGAGCTCTGCCTTTTCAGTTATTTCATTCCCAAAGTCTCAAGAACGTAAAAAATTCTCTGTTTCTCTCTCATTCATTCCTCTGTTTTTCCCCTGTTTTTTTGAAGATGAGTTCCACAATGTTTAAAGTTTTGTTGATCTTGGGCCTTTTGGCTACTTCATGCTTGGCTCAGGCACCGGCACCTACACCCACCGCAACCCCCAAAGCAGCTCCCGCACCCACACCATCATCCAAGGCATCTCCCACACCAGCCCCAACCCCATCATCCACCACTGCTCCCACACCCAGCTCCTCACCTACTCCTACCAGTCCTGTCTCCCCTCCTCCTACTTCACCTTCGCCATCCACCACTACCCCTCCTGCTGATCTGACCCCGCCCCCGACCCCACCTGGCAGCGGTGCGGCCTCCTTCAGTGGAGTTTTGGTTGCTGGAACTGCCCTCACCGCTACTTTGTTGGCAGTCTTGGCTTAAGAAGTGATTCTAGAGATCGTATTTTTCTTGTTCTGTTTCTTGGAGTAGCATTTTCGATCTCGTTCTTTGTTTTAATTTCTTTATTATTTATTTGTCATGTTGAGTTTGTTGGAGGCAGATTTTATTATTTGGGATTGGACGGCTGACAGTGGATTTTATGTTTTGGTGATGACATGTGTATCATTTGATGGGATCTGATGGATGTAAAGAGATTAATAACAGTGGAATAAATAACATTTTTCTATTCTTTCTAAAATTTACAGTTCCTCAATTTCCTCCCCTTCTAAAAATTTTTTTATGCAATAAAATTTATGGGTCGATGCAATTTCCACATCAACGACCTAGCGACTTTAATGGAAATGTCTCCTATTGATGAATTTTTTTAGAATAATAATTGAAATTAAAATTTAAAATTAATGATGTGTTATAAATTATATAATTTAAAATATTAAAAAATAAATTTTATATAATTTAATAAGTAACTTTTTTATTTTTTTATTTATAATATTATATGCATCAATTAATCTAATAACATAATATAAATTATGTCATTAGTGTTTAATTTTTATTTTAAATTCTTGTTCTTCCTATTATTATTATTTTTAAGTAAAAAATAAGAATTTTTAAATTTAACTTACATGTGTATAACTAAAGTGAGTTAACTAATTAACTAATGGTTAGTATTAGGTTAATGGATTTGTTCAAGGAAGGAGTCAGAGTCAGAGTCAGAGTCAGTTTGTTTCCTTCTCCTTGATGGGTTTATTGAATCTTAAATCTCCGGCCATGTGAGGGAGTGGTTTTGTTGATTATTATTGTATTTGTTTGTTTCCATTTTTAATGTTGACATTTTTTTTTTTTTAACAAAGAAAATATTGAGTTAGTGTGTTAATATCTGTTCAAAATTTTTAATGTTAACATGATAAATTAAAACAAGAGAGATATGCGGCTGCGGGCAGAAACACCAAAGCCGCCAACGATGCTCCTGCCGTGTTACAGCATAAAAATTTGCCTGAATAATAACAAATGATGAGTATATCCACTCTCGACTGGGAGATTCCTTAGCACCGAAGCCTTCAAGTTCAAACTGATTTAATTTTCTTAAATTTTGTTTTTTTTTTTTTCATATTAATTTTGTTACAATTCAAA